GCCAAAAATGGGGATAGCGTTTATGATGTGGATATCCTAGGTACAATAATATAATCAGAAAATCTCTGCCCTAAGTTTGAAGCATCTTTCGTACAATAGGATCTTTTTTATCGCTTTTTATATGTAGGCGGTTGAGTGGTAATCGGCTGGAAAAGCTGCCTCGAAACATTCTTCAAGAGATGTCCACATTAGAGGAAGTGTAAGTATAAATTTTGTGATTTGTTTTCAAAAATTCTTCGTCAACGTTAATATTGCTTTCCTCTGTATTGCATTTGTGATCTATTGCTCTCAAGCAGTTCAAAATATGGTTTTATACACTTCTCGTTCTTGATTTATTTATTGGAGCCACTAGTTAACCAGTCGGACATGGAGTTTGTTCAGTTTTGTGTGAGTAGTTCATAAACAGGACGTTCCAAAGCTAGAGAATGTCACAATGAAGTTTTACTTCCGTTGTAGACAAAAAAGGTGCCACTCTCGAAAACGAAAAGTTGCACTTTCTTCCTTTGCATTAAATAAAAAGAGAATATATCTTTATTGAAACGCAGACACGGGTTTGACGAATTCTAAAAAAACAAAACAGAGAAATTACCCTTAAAGAAGACTTGTCGACACCTTTTTACTCTCATTTTGTACGTTTTCATGCTAACTCAGAATGCCTGCTTGTAATTTTGCATAACGAAAGGAGACTTAAAAAAGTCAAATCGTAAATTTAATAATGACATATGCATTGGGTTGTTTTTTGCTCTGGGTCACGTGACATTGGGTGTGTACAGATGACTTCACCAGCTTGCTGGCGCTCACCTCTGTGAACATTTGTGCAAAGCTAATCCAATAGAAAGAAATTTCGATTTATAGCCAACTGAATCCACTTTCTCCCTTATTCGACATGCAAACATTTTGCACAATGCTTGCATCTTTCCCCGCTAAAATGAAAATAAATACTACGCAACTCGGAAATCATCCGTCTGCCTTACAACTTTGTTAAACCATCGAATAACGTGCATCTATTTATGGAACGTAACAAAAACCCAAAAAAATTGGACAGGGAAATATGAATGTTTCCCAGAGAGGGAGTTTTCAAGTTTTCAAAGATTACTAAAACTGATTACTACAACTGATTACTAAAACTGATTGATGAACTACATCTGCCTAAGCTCTATCAGATAAGAATTTCGGCAGAAGAAAAGGTCATCCAAGACAGAAATGACAGAGTTCCACATAGCCCTTGGAAATGCAGTTTATTAACTGAATGTTTGTTTGTTTATTTTTTTTCTCGCTGGCAATCATCTTATTCCCCAAACACGTTTTTTCAGGGACTTGTCCTACAATCAGTTGCAGAGTTTGCCACGAGAGATACTAAGCAGTAATACCAAACTGAAAGTACTGTAAGTAGGACTTTTCTATGTACAAAAAAAAAATCCTTTACAGGTCAGTGTTAACATTCATACATGGTGATCCAAACCAGTTGAGAATATCGCTCATTTCTACCTTTCTCGTACTGAGTTTGCTCATTTGGAAATTACTGAGTAAAGTGTTATTTGAATAATAGATGTCATAATAGAATGAAACCAA